AGGTGTGTAAAAGAGCATCTATTTCAAGCCACCTGCCATGGGCAGGGACACCTCCTTCTAGACCAGGTTGCTCAAAGCCCCATCCAACCTGCCCTTATTGTGAAGGCAATTTGCTTCAAATTAATGTATTTTAATTGGGGAGGGGGAGAACAGGAAAAAAACAGAGGAAGCAGAGGTGCCCGAGGTGGGGGTGGGAGCCACGCAGCATCATGGGGATGTTTGACCCCCCCCAGGCCGGGGGTCCCAGGGGTCTGCTCACCCGCGGGGCTGCTGACGGTGACGATGCGGCCGCCGGCGGAGCGGAGCAGAGGCAGGAGCCCCTTGGTGAGCTCCAGCGAGCCGAAGAAGTTCACCTCCATGCAGGTGCGAAACTTGCCCAGCGGCGAGAGCTCGGCGTCAGCGATGGTGTCGTTGAAGCCGGCGTTGTTCACCAGGCCCCAGAGCCCTGTGGGGAGGGGATGCTCAAAGAGGCGATCCGAGTGGAGGACCCCCCCCACCCCGGCTCCATCCTGGAGATCCCAGCAGCTCCCCAGCTCATGGTGGTCTTGCAGGGGACCCGTGGGGTGCCCTGGGACAAGCCCCAGTAGCAGAGGTGCTCAGCCCAGGTGTCCACAGGGGTGCAGCCCATGGTGGGGGGGTTTGGCACTGCCACATTGACTGCAAGCTGAGGTCCCAGGGAGCTGCGGGAGATCCCCGGGGGATGCCAAGGGTTCCTACCTGTGCTGTTGGTGTGGGCCTGGATGTGCTGCAGGACACGCTGGATGTCCTCCGGTTTGGTCAGGTCCATCTGCAGCAGCGTCAGCTTCGGCGAGCAGCTCCTGCGCAGCTCCTGGGCGCCGGGACCCTGCGGGTCCAGCACGCTGGCGAAAACCCGGAAGCCCATGGCATCCAAGTGCCGAGCTGTCGCCTGCCCGAAGCCCGAGTCACAGCCTGCCAGAGCCAAGAGGGATCAAAGAGTCGTAGAACCATTAAGGTTGGAAAAGACGTCTAAGATCCATCAAGTCCAACCGTCAGCCCAACGCTACCATGAGCACTAAACCATGGCCCCAGGTGTCATGTTCACACATTTCTTGAACCCTTCCAGGGAGGGGGACTCCAGCACCTCCCTGGGCAGCCTGGGTGAAGGCCTCATCACTCTGCCAGGGAAGAAATTCTTCCTCATATCCAATCAAAACCTCCCCTGGTGCAACTTCAGCCCATTGCCTCTCATCCTATCACTGGTTACCTGGGAGAAGAGACCAACGCCCACCTCATTCCAACCTCCTTTCAGGGAGCTGTTGAGAGCAGTAAGGTCTCTCCCTCAGCCTCCTCTTCTCCAAACTAAACACCCCCAGGTCCCTCAGCCACTCCTCATGTTCCCCCGAGCCCTCACCAGCTTCGTTGCCCTTCTCTGGACCTGCTCCAGCCCCTCAAGGCCTTTCTCACACTGTGGTGCCCTGCAGTGGGCAGTGACAGAAGCTTGGCTGACTGTCCCCAGCCCCTAGGGACCCCCTAGCTCCAGGGACCCTCTGTCTCCATCCCCAGGGACCAAACCCCCACCCCAGCATCAGTCCCCCACCTTGGGGAGGACTAGTTCCACCCTGCTCTAGTCCCTGGCTGGCTGGGGACATGACCTTGCCATGGAGCTGCTGTTTTCTCTCTATCACATCTGCAGGTCCCTTATCTGCAACCCCATCGCCCCGAGTGCCTCTCTGGTGTGAGGTGCAGGTAAAACCACGGGCACGACACTGGGACAGCCCCGAGCCCTGCAGCGATGCGGGGTGGGAGGCATCAACCGTCCCCCCCAGAGCTGCCAAAACCTCTGTTGGGCACCACTCAGAGCTGGCACAAAGCTCCATGGGAGATGCTGCCTTTCCCTGAACGCTTTTCCCCTCCCAGAAACAATGGTCAAGAGGCAGAGCAGCCCCTAGAGGGGATGAGGAAGGAGGGCAAAAAAAGAGTCCCTCAGCCTGCTCCCACCACCCCAGATCCCCCAAGGGAGTATCCAGTTGGGCTGTCCCACGCTGGAGAGAGCTGGGTGCTGCCACGCCCAATCCCAGCCTCGCTTCCCCCATCTCCGCTCC